TCTTGATCAGCTGAGTGGTGCTCCCACTGTGGGAACCCACTGACCACCAGGGGGGCAGCTTCTGCATTGAGCGTCTGCCCCCTGGTGGTCAGTGTACATCATAACGACTGGTCAACTGGTCATTCCGCCATTTGGACCCTGGGCTTTTATATAGAAAGATTTTTATAGTTTTACTACAACTATATTTAGTCCTAAAAGGTGTGCATGTGTGTTTAATACGTATCTAAGGTTGTTTTTTAACTGTATCATCTTCTTTTTTCACTTATTAGTACATTGCTAAGATTCATCCATACTGTTGTGTGTTGCTAGTTATTTTAATAACCATTTAAAATCTGATTGTGGGAATAAACATAGCAGCTTATTTATCCTCAAACCATTCTTTATTGAAGTACTTAATACAGACTTGTGACTTTTTCTTTTTCTGGTTATTAACTGGTCTAACTCTGTCACATCCACATTTGCTAATGGCTGCATGAGATCCTGCCTCTTCTGATTTGTAATCATGATAGAGAGCTGACCATTAAATAATCAATGATGGATGTAGGATACATAGAGCACCCGTGGTTTTAGCCAAGGGGAATATTGGAGGGGAGGTGGGGAATGCCAATTCATTAATGAGTCACTTTAAAATGGAGCTGGAGCCGAAACCAGTTTGGCTCAGTGGTAGAGCGTCGGTCTGCGGACTGAAAGGTCCCAGGTTTGATTCTGGTCAGGGGCATGTACGTTGGTTGCGGGCACATCCCCAGTAGGGGATGTGCAAGAGGCAGCTGGTCGATGTTTCTCTCTCATCGATGTTTCTAGCTCTCTATCTCTCTCCCTTCCTCTCTGTAAAAAAATCAATAAAATATATTTTAAATGGAGCTGGAGCTGCTATGCACTTCTTATGCCTCAAATATTTGGAATGTTAAAACGGGGGCTTCTGCCTGAATTAGTGTGCCCCAAGTAGCTGTTCTTATTGATCTCAATAGATGCTGGTTGCCTCTCACTTTGAAAGACTTTTTATTTTTATGTTAACAGATCACTTTTGCTTTCTTGAGCAACTTGGCAAATGTGGGAACTTAGTTTCATGACCACTGAGATAACCAGAATCCTAGGCAGCTCAGCAAATTCTTTAACACTCCTCCCACAAAAGGGAGAATCTCATTATCTGCCGTTTGAATATGGGCTGTCCTTGGTGGCTGAAAAATCAGTGCAATAAAAGCAATGCAGTGGGACTTCTCAGGTTAAGGAAAGACCATATCGCTTCCACGGACTCACTCCTTTGGGGACATTCACTCTGGAAAAGCCATCAGTAGGGGGTGAAGAAGCCCAAATGTAAATATTCGAAGGTGGAATCAGAATCACTTCTAGCAGTGAAATGTTTGAAATAATGTCATTTTTAGGAAATTTCACAAATAAATAAAAAAGACTACACTTATCACCAACTACTAGTTATAATAACACTCTTAGCTCTTGGTTTAACACAGGGCAGAGTTATCCAGCTATCTTTCCAGGTTCCCAGCCTTAACCATTTCTGAGGCTAAGGAGATACTGTGTAAAAGAAAGCTACACCAGCATAAAGTCAACCAATGGGATTAATTAAGTGATCTTCCTTTATTAGGAACTCATGAAATAATATATTTTCATAAATTTATTTTTGTTAAAATTGTGTGTGTATAATAATGATATTTAAAGGCTCCTCTCTCTACCGCTAGTTATACTTTCAACAGGCAACCATTTTCAGTTCTTCTATTACCCTTCTGAGTTACCTTTTTATCTCTAACTTATATATTTTTCTATATTTCATAATCATTTTTAGACATTATCTACTGAATGACCTCCCATCATGATGGATGAGAACTTCTTATCCTCTATACACTTACCCTCTGCCTTCCCAAACTCCCAACATGGCTATATTATCATTCATGGATGTATGAAAACTATAATTTTACAAGAAGTATTAGTTGCAGTAACCCGGAAGAGACATAATGGCAATTAAATGATGGCAATGGCAGTGAAGATGGGAAAAACAATGACTGATTCATAAGGGAGAAGAGTAGATGAAAACTAGTGAGTGATTTTGGATGCAGGGGATGGGAGAGAGGAAAGTACATGGGGAAATGGGTATTGATAATATTTACTGAAATAAGCCGAGACCGGTTTGGCTCAATGGATAGAGCGTCGGCTTGGGGACTGAAAGGTCCTGGGTTCGATTCCGGTCAAGGGCATGTACCTTGGTTGCGGGCATATCCCCAGTAGGGGGTGTGCAGGAGGCAGCTGATCGATGACTCTCTCATCGATGTTTCTGGCTCTCTATCTCTCTCCCTTCCTCTCTGTACAGAATCAATAAAATATATTATTAAAAAAATATATTTACTGAAATAAGAAACATGGAATAGCAGCAGGTTGGAGTGGGGATGGGAAAAATTGTAAGCTCAGTTCAGGACATGTTGAGTTTGAACAGTCCAAAGGACCCAAATGGAGGCAAAATTGTTTTAATATGTATGTTTGGACCCGTTGCTATAGGGAGCAGATGCTCAATGCAGGAGCTGCCCCCTGGTGGTCAGTGTGCTCCCACAGGGGAAGCGCTGCTCAGCCAGAAGCCCTGAGCCAGGCTCACAGCTGGTGAGCAAAGCGACTGTGGCAGGAGCCTCTCTTGCCCACGAAGCAACGCGAAGGTTGGACATTTGCCGAGGGCTCCTGGACGGTGAGAGGGCACAGGCCAGGCTGAGGGGACCCCAGGGCATGAATCTTGTGCACCGGGCCTCTAGTATCAATATAATTAACATTATTAAACTGTGCACTTAAAATATGGTAGCCTTGCCAGCGTGGCTTAGTGATTGTTGACCTATGCACCAAGAGGTAACTGGTTTGATTCCTGATCAGGGCACATGCCTGGGTTTTGGGCTCAGTCCCCAGCAGGAGGCATGCAGGAGGCAGACAGTTAATGTTTGTATTTTCCTCTCATGTTTCTCTCTCTCCCTCTCCCTTTCTCTCTCTTTAAAATCAATAAGAACATATTTTTAAATAAAAAATAGTTAAGATGGTAAAATTATGTGTATTTTATCACAATTAAAAATAAAAAAATTTAAATAATGCAAAAAAAGTAGTAGTCATAATCTATAATAATAAAAGTATAATATGCTAATTGGACTGGATGTCTTCTGGACAACCTTCTAGATGAAGCTGGGGCTGTGAGGGAACCCCGGCCCGGGTGCCAGAGGGAAGCTGGTGTCGGCAGCTGGGAGAAGGAAGGCCTGTTCTTGCACGGATTTCATGCATCGGGCCAGTTTTCTCATAATTTGGTATTCTTGCAGTTCTGTTTCTACTGTTTGTTATTTCTTCTAGTTCTCACTTACAGCACCTTGTTCCTTGGGTGCTTGGTTATTTTTGACTGTATATTAGTCATTGTCTCTGAAAAATGACTGATGGAGATTCTTTGAGTACCAACACAAAGGAGTTGAGTTTGCTTCTGCCGGCTATTTAGAGACACTTCTAGTTCAGGACTACTTTAATTTTATGAGTTTAAAAATGTGTGTGGTCTTTTTAAATGTAATTTGGGCTACAAATCAGACAAAAGACTAACAGTGTCTTGAGAAGAGTTTTCCCCCCCGCCATACATTCAGTATACTAAGTTAACTTTCCATGGAATCTCTTGAGAGAAAGTTGTAGAGGCAAGTTACTTCTGATTCATCTTTAGTCATAGCCCTTCGACTAAAAAGGGAAGGTCTTCAAATACACTCCCCTTCTTGGTGTGAAGCCTGAGTTTTTATTTCATTCTTCTCACTCCACAAAGCTTTCTCATAAATGAAATTCAACTTTTGCCAGATTGGCAAATATCCTCAGAGCAAAATTAACTTTCATGCTTGTTTACCTATCCCAGTTTTTGTTGTTGTTGTTGTTGTTTATATTTTTATTGGTTTCAGAGAGAAAAGGAGAGGGAGAGAGAGAAATAGAAAATCAGTGATGAGAGAGCATCATTGATTGGCTGCTTCCTGCACGCCCCTTACTGGGGATCGAGCCCACAATCTGGGCATGTGCCCTCACCAGGAATTGAACTGTAACTCCTGGTTCATAGGTCAATGATTAACCATTGAGCTATATCGGCCAGGCCCAGCTCTTAAACTCCTATAGACCTTGGCCTCTGACCTCTTACCTCCTGCCCTAATAGTATTTCTGTGCTTCTGAGACTATTTTAAATCTACTTTATTCAATATTTTTAGTTGTTTTTTAGCAGTCAATTGGCCCAATAACCTAACCAATCAGAAATCCCTCTCTTTTTTATTGATTTCTGTTCTATATATTTTCTTCATCCTATTTTTTGTTGTTCTTATTGTTGGTTTTCTCCCTAACTTCTTGAGTTAGACACTTAGCTAATTATCGCTCCTTTTTTTTCTAGGGCTATTCTATCCTAAGGCTCTGAATTTCTCTTAAAGTACACTTTACTTTGTATTCCTTAAGTTTTGCTATGTAGTGGAGGAATAATTGCTGACAGCCACCTGTTTTCATCAGTGTCTCACCCCAGCATAGATACTGTGCTATACTGATTTTTCTCCCGAGGGGAAAGGTTTGGCCAAGTGCAGCCAATTTCCCCCATAAGGGACCAGCAATGTTTGCCCATGGCAAAACTATCTTTTTTGGCTCTGTGTTTCCCATTCCTGGCTACATATGAAAATCACTAGGAAGTTTTGGAAAATGCTGGTATTTGGGTCTCACCAGTGAATGTTTTAATTGGTCTGGGGTAGCACCTGGTCCTGGGTACTTTTGGTGATTTTAAGGTTGAGAAGCACTTCTCTAATTTACCTGCTCTTTGCTACCAGACTGCATCCTTCCTCTTCTCCTTTCATACTCCAATCAATTTTAAACTGTCTCCTCTCTGCCCAGAGTTGTTACTTCCTGGTTTCCATACTTTTCTTTGTCGTTTTTCCTTTGGGAAAGGAGGCAGAAACCCTGATAATTTGCCACATTGGCAGGAACCAGAATTCTCCCTTATATTGTTTGTCTTCACAGGAAATCTCGACATGAAACCGAAACACTGGTGTGGGATGACCGCCAAAATGGGCACCGTGTTGTCAGGGGCCTTTACCATCATAGCCACCAACATGTACCTCATCTTCGAACAGAAGTACTTAACGAGCAGCAATTGCACTGAGATTAACTCAATGGACGAGAGTATAAGCACCCTAATAAGTCACTTCGTCGCCTGTTGGGGTTTCAATGTCGTTATCTTCCTGTCTTGCATCACCATCATCATCAGCCTCTTGCTCATATACTCAGTATATGCCCAGAAATACAAGGGCATGATAATCTACGTCATCTGGATCTTTTTCTATGAAGCCCTGAACATTTTACTACAAGCCATCACCACCAATAACACGATCATTGAAGAGGTGAGAGTCATGCGCTGGTTTGGCTTGGTGTCCCGTATACTCATGCACTGTTTCTGGATCTTCTTTGTCATGACTTATGCCCAGATAATCTACAAAAGTAATAGCCAGGGCACTATCATTTCCTACACCAGGCGGATTTCCACAAGCAAGCAAGACTTCACACGGCGGAAATCAAAGATAATCAGCCACATCCGCCACTAGAATGAATGGATAACCTTGGCCCTTTTCTCTCTTGAGAAGCGGGTCTCCCAGATCCTCATGGTAGTTCTCTTTTCATCTCTTCCCTTTTCATCTATTCAGAAAGTAGAGACCCTACTGCCACTCTTTCTGGGGGATGTGCAGAGAAATGTGATTAGGGTCACGCCTGGAACATCCTGTTCATTGAGGATGTTTAGTTAAAGGTCGTTGTTGTTTATCAAGCACTCCTTGAGTGGCTCTCTCTTTTTCTGGTCATAACCATCTTATTGAGCAAGGGGATGAAAGTTGAATTGCACTCTGGCAATCCGTTCATCAACCTTCAACCCGTAGCTCTTTAATTTAACCCTGGGACAGGCAAATCTGTATTTATACCCTAGATTGTTGAAGCACAAAGGATACTGTTGTTGTCTTGGGGTGGCTTTGTGCCATGGTTTTTCTCCCTATGTCATCCAGATAAGTAAAAGAATAAAAATAGAAAACTGCTTTTCCTTTTATGAGTCCCTCCCCCCCCCCAAAAAAAAATTGTCAAATAACACAAAAGACAATCAATTAAAAGATATTTGTTTAACTTTTCTGTGTCTCCCACTGTGTCTGGAATACTGTAGGAGGATGCAAAGTAAGATATGAGGCCTAACTTTGAGGATTTTGCAGGTTAGTGAGAGAAACTAAATTACTGTTTATGAATCATTAGTCAACAGTATAACACAGTACAAGATTACATATTATTATGGATGAACAAACTTCACTTTGTATTTAGATTCAAAAACTGTCAGAAGCAGCTTAAGCCAGGATAGAAAACAAATTGAGCAAACTTCTACTTCAAACATTAGATATTATGTTGTGTTTGCTTTACTTAATAGCTTTCTTGAAGCATGATCCTATAAAATAAAAGGCTAATATGCAAATCAACCAAACAGTGGAACGACTGGTTGCTATGATTCACACTGACCACCAGGGGGCAGATACTCAATGCAGGAGCAGTCCCCTGGTGGTCAGTGCACTCCCACAGGGGAAGCACTACTTAGCCAGAAGCCAGGCTCACAGCTGGTGAGCGCAACAGCGGTGGTAGGAGCCATCTCGCCTCCACGGCAGTGCTAAAGCTATCCCCAGGGGAGCAGGCCTAAGCCATCAATCAGACAACCCCTGAGGGCTCCCAGACTGCAAGAGGTTGCAGGACGGGCTGAGGGACCTCCCTCCCTACCCTGCCACCAAGCGCATGAATTCCGTGCACTGGGCTGCTAGTCTATAATAATAAAAGTGTAATATACTAATTAAACAGGACAGCCAAATGTCCTTCCAGACATCCTTCTGGACAAAGCCATGGTGGCTGTGAGGGCTGAGGGCGGGTAGCCACAGTGACCAGCAAGGGCAGCAGCAGTGGGTGATGGGAGGGATGCCTTCCCCTGATCAGCCCAGTTGCCTCCCTCAGAAGCTTAGGCCTGCTCCCACCAAGGGCTTCCGGACTGTGAGAGGGGGCAGGCTGGGATGAAGGACCCCCTCCAGTGCATGAATTTTCATGCTCTGGACCTCTAGTCCTGTATAATAAAAGCCTAATATGCAAATCATCCCCTCAACCAGGAATTTGACTGGAAGTTCGACCAGGTGTTCGACCAGGGGGCGGGGCCAGCTGGCCAACCTCAGGAAGAGAGGTCCTGACCAGTAGCACCAGGCAGCCGGGGGAAGGGAGGCCCTGGATGGCAGTGGCAGCAGGCAGCCAGGGTAAGGGATGTCCCAACCGGCTGCCACACAGCCGCTAGGGACCCTATCATGCACTGGGACTCTGGTTGACATATAACAACACAATGTTTAAAGAATATAATTGACATAAGTATCAATTGAGTTCGCCACAATTGAGTTCATGAACATAGGTATCACCTCCAGAAGTTTCCTCATAATCCCTGCCTCCCCCATCTGTACTCCCCATTCCCACTACAAGGCAATGATTTGCTATATATTAGTTTGCATGTTCTAGAATTTTACATAAGCAAATTCATAGAGTATTGCTATTTTATTTTATATTTTATTTTATTTTATTTTATTTCATTTTATTTATTCTCTGGCTTCCTTCACTCAGCCTGATGCCTTTAAGGTCCATCTATATCATGTGTATTAATAGTTCATTATTGAACCAGAGCAACAGAGGCCAGGCCCTGAGCAGCCAGGCCCAGAACAGCTCGCTCCCTGCCTGCCCCTGCCCCACGGCTGCCTCTCAGACATGGCTGGAAACTTTCGTGGGAACTTGAGGATCTGCTGAATCAAGTGATGAAGGCTTAGATCTGGATGTGTGGAGTTAGTATAGGGCTGGGGTGTTGATCTGTGAGTGCCTTGGGTGGGGCCTGGATGAGGCTAGTGGACCTATTGGGAAATGTCTTTTGTGTGAAGTGTATCATTGGGCATGTGGAGGTATTATTGATATGAGAAAATGCTAAGTAACTGATTTACTATCTGAAAAGGGATTTACTATTGGGGAAAGGGAGGGAAGAAGAGACTGAACATAAACTGCACCTATGGATGAGGACAATGGGGGATGGGGAGGGGGCAGAGGGTGGGGTGGGAACCTGGTGGAGGGGGGAAGAAATGAGGAACCTTTGTAATAATATGAACAATAAAGATTGATTTAAAAAAAATAAATTTAAAAAAAATAAAAAAATAAAATTTAATAATTTATTAAAAAAAAAAAATAGTTCATTATTGCTGAGTAAGATACCATGGCATGGATGTATCATTGTGTACCCATTTGTCCATTGAAGGACATCTATTGGTTTGAAGTTTGGGGCAGTTATGAATAAGAACACTATAAACATTGTGCACAAGCCTTTGTATGGACTTATGATTTCATTTATCTCAAAACTGGAATTTTTTTCTAGAGCAGCTGTATCATTTTTATATTCCCCACTACAGGCCTGGTGCACGAAATCCATGCATGGGTGGGGTCCTTAGGCCTGGCCGGTGATCAGGGCTAATGAGGTGTCTTGCCTCCCTGCCTTCCCACTTCCTCCTTCCCTCACCACCCATGTTCACCCCCACTGACCCACAGTTCCCAGTCCAAGCCCGGGGCCCATCACAATCAGGCTATAGGGGCCTACCAGTCAAGGAGAGGAGCCAACCACCACCGCAGCAGGCACGTGGTGGGCCAATTGGGGCCTGCTGGCGGAAGGAGAGGAACCTGGAAGGGACCTGGGAGGTTGGCTACCAGTCCTGAGGAGGGAGCTGACTCTTGGTCCCACTGGGAAAGGGGCCATGCCTGCCACCACCCACCCCTGGTTCCCCATCCCAGCCCTGGGGCCCAGCCCTGATCAGGTGATCCAGGCCTGCCAGCTGGGGGAGGGACCAGGATGTTGGTTGGCAAGCCCCATCAGTGATCAGGGCCTGCTGGTTGGGAGAAGCTCCTGTGTTGAGTGTTTGCCCTATGGTGGTCAATGTGCATTATTATAGTGACTGGTTGTTTCGGCTAACAGTTGCTTAGGCTTTTATATATATAGATGGCAGTATGTGAGAATTCCAGTTCCTCCACATCCTTGCACAATAAGTATTTTATTTTAGCCATTGTAATAAGTATATGGTGGTATTTCATTGTGGCTTTAACTTGCATTTCTCTAATGATAAATTATGTTGAGCATCTTTTCATGTACTTATTTAGCATTCTTATATCTTTTTTAGTAAAGCATTAAAATTTTTTGCCCATTTTTTTATTTTTTCTTATGCCCATTTAAAAAAGTTAGGTTGGCACCACATGACCTCACTCATTTGTGGATGATAAAGAACATAAACTGATGAAGCAAGAGACAGATATAGAGACAGTAAAGCAACAGGCAGACTGTCAAATTACAGTGGGGAGGGGAGGAAGATCTGGGGGAGATAATAGATCAACCGAAGGACTTGTGTACATGCATATAAGTACAACCAATGGACATAAAACTCTGGGGAAGGAGGGTATGCATGAGAGGGAGGGGGGCAAAAAAAATCAACAAAATATATTTTAAAGAGAGAGAGAAGAGAGAGAGAGAGAGAGAGAGAGAGAGAGAGAGAGAGAGAGAGAGAGAGAGAATGTAACCAAGAAAAAAACAAAAGAGAGAAAAGTTACAGATGGATAATGAGATCAGTAAAGGACAAGAATCTCTTGCATAAGGAGAAAGTGAGGTCTTAAAAGATTACATGCCTACTTTTCCACTCAGATGGACTGGTTTTAAGTAATAAGCAGTTTCTGCCACTTACTATTTGAATAAGTTACTTAACCTTTTTATGCCTCAGTTTTCTTATCTGTAACATAAGAAATAAAAATAGTTCCTGTTTCAAAAAAAAAAAAATAAATCAGTACAAAGAACTGTTTTCACTTAAAAAAAAATTTAAAAGTAAAATAAATAAAATAAAAAGTTAGGTTGTTTTTCTTAAGTTTGGGGAGTGGTTTTAAAATATATACAGTATTGCCAAAACCGGTTTGGCTCAATGGATAGGGCGTTGACTTGGGGACTGAAGGGACCCGGGTTCGATTCCGGTCAAGGGCATGTACCTTGGTTGCGGGCATATCCCCAGTAGGGGGTGTGCAAGAGGCAGCTGATCGATGACTCTCTCATCAATGTTTCTAACTCTCTATCCCTCTCTCTTCCTCTCTGTACAAAATCAATAAAATATATTTTAAAAATAAAATAAAATATATACTGTATATTTTTTATTATTGACAGTATTTCACATGTTCCCCATTTTCCTTCCCTTTGGCCCCCTCCACCTTCCCCATATCCTCTCTGGAGAGATTTTTATATTTTCTGAATACAAGTCCTTTATCAGATATATGATTTGTAATTATTTTTATTGTTGTACCTTGTCTCTTCATTCATGTAACGGTAGCTTTTGAAGAACAGAGAGTTTTAATTTCAATGAAGTCCAATTTATCCATTTGTTCTTTTATGGGTGACACCTTTGGTTATCATATTTAGGAAATCTTTGCCTAACC